TCTTCTAAATCTACAAGAAAATTAAGAAAAAAATTGATTAATGCACAACACTCACAAAAATACATGTATGCATATAGACGTAATTTATATGTGATTCACTTGTGAAGTGAATCACATATAATTCATATGTGATTCACTTGTGATTTACATGTGAATTACATATAATTCATATGTGAATTACATGTGATTTACATGTGAATCACATATAATTCATATGTGAATTACATGTGAATCACATGTAATTCATATGTGATTCATGTGTGATTTATAAGTGAATTACATGTGATTCATATGTGAATTACATGTTATTTACATGTAAATCACATGTAATTCATATATGATTCACTTTTGATTTACATGTGATTCATATGTAAATTACATGTGATTTACATGTGAATCACATGTAATTCATATATGATTCACTTGTGATTTACATGTGAATTACATATGATTCATATGTGAATTACATATGATTAATATGTGAATTACATGTAAATCACATGTAATTCATATGTGATTCACTTATGATTTAAATGTGATTTAGATGTGAATTACATGTAATTCATATATGATTCACTTGTGATTTACATGTGATTCACATGTAATTCATATCTGCTTCACTTGTGATTTACATGTGATTCATATGTGAATTACTTGTCAATCACATGTAATTCATATGTGATTTACTTGTGGTTCACTTGTGATTTACATGTGAATCACATGTGATTCACTTGTGAATTACATGTGATTCATATGTGAATCACATATGATTCATATGTGAATCATATGTAATTCATATGTGATTTACATGTGGATCACTTCACACTTGTAGTCTTGCTTCCAATTAATTACTAAAATATTATGTAATAAAAAACTCACCAATTATAAATGTTCAAAATAAATATTATAGACATAATCCGTAAATAAGGAAAAACATATGGGAAACCTTTGCAAAAGAGCTTTTATGTTGAAAATTATTCTAACAAATGGTAGCAAAGACATTTGGGATGCCCAGGTAAGCAATTTTTAATACTTTGCTATCTAAAACCATAAGAGACCAACGAAAAAAATATTACGAATTAAGGTTAGCTAACCTTATGGTGCACTTCACAAAACTTCAATTTCTTTGTATATATGCAATCCCCATTGCTCACATTGAACTAATGTGATCCGATAAAATTAACTCATCAAACATAAAAGATACATATCTTCATTTGACATCAATATAATCATAAAGAATTAATCATAAACAATGTATATAGTCGATATTCTTCAATTCATCCAACAATTCTCTCATAGCAACAACGGGGGAGAATCCAATCTATATGAGACAAAAAGGAAGCAAACTAAAATAAAATATATACTTAGAAAATATATACTTAGTATCTTCCATTGATGTTTCAAGAGTTTGTATATGATACTCATCAGAAAGACTTGAATTATACAATCCATTAAACAATTATTATTAAATTTTGAGATTATTACAAAAACATAACCAATATATAGATAAAAACATAAAAATAATAATACCAGCTGTGGGATTCTAGGAAGAATGGTTTCTCTGTACAACTCTAGGTCAATTCCTTCATTTGATTGTGAACATGTATATTCTTGCCAACCAGTAAAAACATGATGATAGCAAAAAAAAACTCGTTGAGACTTAAAGACAAACACCTAATGTGCAAACCAAAAGCACACAACTTCAAATCAACTAAAAAAGTAGAAATGCTTAACAAAAATGGATCAGATATAATCATTGCATAAATTAAGGGCATCTCGTAAGGGTTTCCTTTGCATTTGGAATGTAAGAAATATAGAAGACAAGTAACATAGTTTTACAAAAGTAAAAGAAAAAAACAATGGACAATCCTTGCTAAACACAGTGACCAAAAGCACACAGTTTCAAATCAACTAAAGTCGGATGGAGGACAAATAAACCTACGTAAGATACAAAGGATAATAAGCAGATAATTAACAGATTAATGACCACGTTGTTTATGCTTAAGAAAAATAGAACCTAAGTCAATCACCAATACTAATTCAGTTCAATCGCAAACAAAATCTATAGAGAAACTCAAAAAAAAAGTCAGAAATCAACATACCGGCAAACATGAAGAATCAGAGTCGAAGAACTGTGTCAAAGCTTGCTCTGATTCATCGATGCTACTAAAAAAGCGAGCGTTGTCACGGCGGAGCACAGATAATGTGCGTGTTGTGGTTGTTAATCTTCACCGTATACGTGTGAGTTCGATTTCAATGAAGAATTTTTTCTGTCTGACGTGACGATGGATACTCCATCGATCCACCATCGAACGACTTATAGCTTCGGCTATTGACAGATGAAATCGAAGATGAACACGAAAGGCGTTGATCTCTTGGTTGGTGGATTCGGCATCGATGATCTGAAGATTAAGGACATCGGATTTGTAGTCGTCGTTGAGGGAGGCGATCGATGTAGATGTAAGAGAAATTGAGGTTCATACTCTAGAGAGAGAAAGACAGATAGAGAGAAAAAGTAATTTGGGGAATTTCTATAATCTGGCAAATTGAATTGTATTAATATTTTGGAATGATATTTTTTTATACCAGATTTACCCCTAAGGTGTATTGAGAAAAACCTAAACCGCCATTAAATTAAGTTATAATTACAAATATGCCACTTTTAATCTAAGCCATTAAAATTTTTGATCTAACGTTAAATCTTTAGTTCTCGGATTCTCATTAAACTATGAGTTCTCAAAAGATCCTTCCTCTATATATATATATATATATATATATATATATATATATATATATATATATATATGTGTGTGTGAGTTCTTAAAAGATCCTTCCTCTCTCTCTCACACACACACACACGTTATCTATCTAATACACTCCTCGCAACTAAAAGCTCTTGAATGCTAAGATTTAATCTGAAGTCTAAAAATAATTATAAGTATAAGCCCTTTGTAAAAATGTCATCAAATGATATGAAGAAGTGACAAGTTACACACAAATTTAACCAAAAGCAACTCCCTTACAAAGTGTGAACATATTCCAATATGTTTAGCACATTGATGTTTTACATGATCTAAAGAAAAATATATAGAACTATCATTTTCGTAAAAAAAAAACACAACAATAGGAGACATCGGACAGTGAAGTTCAAGTAGAAGATTGTGAAGCGTGAGTGGTAGCATTAGTCGTGGCTCGATACTTAGCTTTGTCACTACACGGAGAGAAAACATTATATCATTTAGACATGCATGAGACAATATTGTCACCAAGAATAACACAATAAACTGAAATAGATCGATGAGTGTTTAGACATCTCACCTAATCGACATTGGTGTAAGAGACCAAACCGTCCACTAAAGACTGACAAAGTTGAAGACAAAAAGATATATATATATATATATATATATATATATATATATATATATATATATATATAAAGAGAGAGAGAGAGAGAGAGAGAGAGAGAGCCCTAAAAATAGAAAATGAGGTGTTTTGACGCATGCATATGGAGTTCTCATGGATCGTGCATATTGAGGAAAATCTGGTGGACGACATAAGCTATATTAATACGGGTAAAGTAGTAAGATGCTAGAGATCCCAAGTAAGGTTATGGAAAAGGGTCGGATCAAGTACAAGTTTACCAACAAAGGATAATTTAGAGATTACATGTAAGCTTATTGGCATGTATAATAATTCTATAAGAATATATTGTATGAAAAAAATTCCATTGGATGGTTATAATGCAGTAATTCCCAAGAAAAAATGAAACATGGCCAAAATCAATCATGGAAAACTTAGTGGATAATCGAGTGATGAAAACCCGAATTGGGGTCAACGAGGAGGAGGTGGGGATAATATCATCTTCATAAAGAAGCAATTTGTAGTATCCAGACCCCGATGAAACTGATATGAAAATATAACATGAAAATATATGAATGAAAAAAAAATTGTAAAATTATTGTTGAGGCCTGTTTTTAACACATTGTCCTTAAAACGAATTATCCTGGTATGAGCGTTTGTTTCCAAGGATACAATAACGGAAAGTGATTCCTCATAATCACCCAAGCCTTCAATTAGCCGGAAAATATATCTGGTGTAGCAAGAGGAAGATGCAGAAGTAGAATCGGTAGAGAGGAAGAAGATATTGGCTCATTTGTTGTTACTCAAGGAGGTGCTATGTTTATACTACAAAATGCAACTGATGTATTAAATACCAAATCAGAACTGTCAAAATTAAACAACACAATTAATCATAAAAACAAAACCGAAATCTATGATTAATGGATTTTAATTCGGATTTAAAACTGATATAATTTTAGTTATGAAAAAGAAAATAATTGCAAAAAGGTCCTTGAAGTTTTCTGCTCGGCCAGTGGTGTATTCTGATGGGTTTTATAGGTTATAAATTACATGTGAATTCAGAAAAATCACTTAACACTTAAGGGCACATGCAAACCTATAGGGATCTATGTATTCAAAATTAATAGCAACATAATATGAATATCAAGAACCCTATAGAACCCTAGTATAATAAAAAATACAATAGTTAGGGTTTACATACCTTATATTATTATAGAAAATAATTCTCTTGAGTCCTTCTTGTTCTTGGAAATCAAACACCAAAAGTATGATGCCTCTAATCGCTCACACCCAAAACTAGAAACCCTATAATGAAGAGGAGAAAGGAGAAAGAGAGAGAGAGAGATGAGGGAATTTTCATTCATAAGCCTTTTAGAAAGGTTGCGCATGAATTTTAGCTCCCAAGGGGTCCTATTTATAGTTTAGGTAACGTGCAGGCATAGCCAGCTTTGAATTGATTAAATAAAAGATTTAATATTTAATTAAAATTCTTTCCTTATATACAACCAGGAGGCTTCCAGAAACCCTAGGAATCCCTCCAAAACTGTCCATACCATGGAGGATTCTAGAATTGCTTCTTTTCTAAACTATTGAACAATTACAATTCACCTCTTGCACCTTTAATTAATTTCAGTTAATCCTGAATTAATTCTAGAATAATTCTGATTAATAATTAATTAATTCTTATTGATTCCATATTAATTTATTAACCATATAACTTAACAAATCAATTATTTAACCATTGATGTCATATTAATTTATTAACCACATAATAAATCAACAAATCAAATATCTATTTCTAATTAATATATTTATCATATATTATATTAACAAACCAGATTTCCATAATTTCAAATTAGTTTATTAATCATATAATAATCTAATAAATTATACTTCTTTCTCCTAATGTCATTTCTAGCTATTTCTGATTATGAGGGCAACCTAAAAATGACTTTACTTCTAATTACAAGTTTATACCAATTTAGTTATGAGCTTAGACACCTTAATCCAATAGTCTCTCATTTGGATAAGTCTATAACTATAATTGCAAGTATAACATTGAACCAAACAAAAAAGTGTTCTTTCTAAAGCTACTACCGAACTTTGATTCAAATCAAACGTTAGCCCTAAGATAAGAGATCAGTTATTCCTACGTTATCTTGTTTCTTGGTCTCTAATTTTTTTGATCAAATTCAGACTACAAAATCGAACACATCAATTGAGTCCGGACAAGGCGCCTGGTTTTAATAGATTAGCTCAAATAACTGAGGGGCCCAAATATACCGTTTTTCCTGTTAGGGAAAAAGTAACAAGTAAACTTTGATTATATTATAATACATTTTACTTACCAAATCATGCATGAAATTACACTTTATAACACCTAGTTACGAGATGCGTTGGAGTAAACCAATGCATAACTAATTTGCAAAATATGATTTATATATCTCTGCTTGAAGAATAGAAAATGTTATCAGTTTAGAATTACTTGTGATTGAATCTATGAAGTAATCTCTAAGCGTGGGTTTATTCGATACTTAAAATCCTTATTTCCAAGTACTCATGAATATTGTAGCAATCCATATGCAATGTCCAATCACTATGGACAATCTACAAACAACTCATGACAGTCTTAATTTGGATAATCAAAATTATTCAGGAAGTAAAAGCATGCAAAGTAAAACACAATAATAAACTAATTAACTATGGTATCGTACCTCTTGAATATAAATAAATCCCTATTAGTTAATCACCATAACAATTACGAATTTATTCATTTTATAATATTTCGAGTAATCAACTAACCACTTGAAATAAATAACATTAGTCATGCCATGTTATGAACATGCATACTATGTCTCTCTATAATCCTTCCTTTGTGAACAGTGTGACTAGACATTACTCCAATGATACTCATTTCATAATTCCTAATTCTCATCATTATATAATATGTAGTGGAATTCAATCCTTACATGCATTGACTTCCTTTGATATCGACATTTTAAAGTCACAGAGACTGAGCATTCGATATTACAGAATGTTCCACTAAAACTTGTTACCCATAATAACTACATGGTTATGAAGTCTCAAATTCAAGGTACACTCCTTGAAAACTTCCCTTGCATTAAAGTTCCCAACTTACATGTAGATTTAATAAGCATCTTCCATTATGGAATCATTTCCATATTCCTATATGATCATCAATTCAGACCAAGAATTATCTCGATTCAAAACCTATCACTATGGTCATTCCCAAATAATGTCATACTTCCAACTATCCACAAGAAACCAGTCTTCGGTAAAACCTTAGAATGTTCTTGACAGTTGCTTAACAACTTTTTCTCACAATGCTCAAGGCATTTGAAAACTTAGAATAAGTACATTTTATACCATATGTGATCGATCCTATATCTGAAGCATATAGGAGTCGACTCATTATTACATGTACAAGGATTTAATATATGTTTAAATTCTTGCTATAATATTTCCATATATGGAATCTCCTATGTTGAACCATTTCAACATGATATTAATACATGTCTTTGTAATGCCTACAAGATAGGGCTAGATGATTGAAGAATAATAAGATAATTATTCGTCATGGCGATAAATATATATTTTTGATAGAATATTATTTAGGATAAATAATCTAAACATAAGTCATAGTAATCATAAAACTGAGAGCATTCATATAAAGAATGTCCGAATCTAACTTCATATAAAAAAGTTAACGATTGTTAGAAGTTTCAGCGCAGCAGTATGCGACACAGAAACTAAAATTAAGAACGGTTGATTCTTAAGAAATACAATCTAAATGAGAGTTGAAGATCTCGTCAATACCTATTTGTCAATATAAAGACAGTCAAGAATGGATATTGTATGAGAGAGTTATGATTTTTAATATGAGTTTTAGCAGTCTAAACCCTTTAAAAATATAATTT